TCCTTCTATTTTTAAACACAATACTAAGGGATAAACAGAATTATACCTCACTCACATTTGCAGTGTACTTTGATCACACCACGTAAACAAAAAAGAATCAGCAGCATAACAAATATCAATTTACAGTATGCTATATGTAGAGCGGATATTGTATATATATACAAAAGTCATTATCCAAATCAAAAAATAAATATATTCACCCCACTACCCCTGAAGAGCGCTATGCATCCAAAGAAAAAAATAAAAAGTAATTTTCTAATGACGACATTGTGGCACACCACTTTTATTGCGTGGGTAGGTTCTGAAACTTAGTCAATACACAGACCACTCGCAAGAAAGAAAATCCGAAACATCTTAAACTTAATAACTTTTTGCATAAGCTCGACAGCTATTGTTTCCAGTTAAGAATACTTTACCAAGAGATGGAATTTATATCCTATTTTTTAGGTTTATAATCATACATGCATGACCATAAATTAAGAGAAGCATTCACCTGACTCAGGTGCAAATAACCAATAAAGAATTTGACAAGATACATCTAAATTATTAAGTTAATGAAAAATGGTCAATTTGGCAAAGCTCCCAAGCTGAGAGCTCCCAAAGTTGCGACATCATATGTACATCACAAGGAAATTGTCTCCAGTACAGTTATTGACACCACCTTTTATATGCACCTAAAAAGCTTGTTTACTTCTTAGTTTAAACCTAACTAGTACAAACAATTTTTTCAAGCTCATACACCGTGTCTTAAAATGCTGGCGTCACAATGTTTCTGTTAAGAAAACATTTTTTTTCTGAAAACTCAACACCAGCAATGTGCCCAAGAATCCATCCACTTCATCTCAGCTGCAATACACATAACGTCTCGTATGGATCTCAGAGGGAGGCGACCGTTTTTTTGCCCCACTACCACCCTAGGGCTTAATATTTTATTCTGATCAGAATTGCCAAAACCCAATGTTCCAAACCCTTTCACAAGTCAAAACAAGCCCCAAAAGACTTTTTAATAACTACTTCATGATCCCTTAAAGGCTCTCGGGGACGGAATTGGAAGTTTCTTCAGAACTGGACAAAAACAATCATCAGCACTGAACAGAATAAAAGATTAACAGCATACTACATATTTGCTAAATAGATGAATACGGTAAAAATAAAATTTTGTTTAAAACACACCAATACTGCCCTTAACTAAAACAATGTAATCGACACATTAAAAAATGTGTTGCATCTATTACAGATTTATTTTTCTTAAAGCAAAAACCTCTATTGGAAATTAAATTTCAGTCAGATGTATTTTTTTGGGAGTGAATGGCTAACAATACACAATACACTTGGTTCATTCCAGGAAAACAAAGTTGTTCCTGTGAGGAAACGGAATTACACCTTGCTCAGACTAGCAAAATCTTATGAGAGTCAAAAACACAAACACGCATCTCGAGAACCACGCTTATTTATCTTTTTTCATCACGCGAACAAATTGGAAGATAATATTTAAACGTCCGTTTAACCATATAGCTGCAATATCGCTGACTTTTCACCAGCCTTTGGGCCCAATTACTTTCACTCTCCTAGTTACAAAATCTAGTAACTTACTCTGTTACAACATACACTATAAAACCTACAATGAATGAAACAATCAGCATCGGTCCTTCTATCAAAAGATCGAATAATTGTAAAATAAACTGAAATACTGTATATACACATAGACAACTTGAGGATCAACAACACACAGAATCACTGCTTAACATTATAGAATAATGTGTATGGTCATCCTCTGGACGATTTTTATCACTCGTGGCAGAGGTTTTAGCCTACCAAGAGTCTTGGACAGGAAAAAAAAACACCCTTTGATTACCACAAGTCACTTTTATCGTACCAAACTCAATGGCTCTGGGACCGAAGCGATAGTAACAACTTATAAAAAGACATGTACTCAACATCCTAATAAAATCTGCCGTAGAAACGGTGTACATCGTTCGCTATCCCCTTCATCTTTATACATTGTCCAGGGACAGTATTACATCCACTTCTTTTAATTCATAACCTTTAAAAGCTCAATTTGCATTTCTCTACCTGTTGTTAATGGACAGAACTAAACAGCAGGATGTTCTTTATTACACCACACTATGACAAAACATAAGCCATTACAGCGTGTCTAAAACATTGCCTCACCAATGGTCATTGTTTTAAAAACATTCTTAAAACAGCAAATCAACAGGCAAGTGCCATAAGCCAGCCACATCCATTGTTTTCTACTGCACCATACTACATATACGTCTCTGTATTTCTATTCTCTCTCTCCCCCCTTTTTTTTGAAGAATTGTTAACTATACAAAGACTAACGTACTATGCAGCATGCATGATGGATGGACTCATGACACCATACACTGTAATTTGGACTGTATTACAGAAAAGTTTTCCTACACAATGAAACCAATTAATCAGCAGTTTTACATACCACACTTAATGACTGCAACTGTTTTCACATTTAGGGGGTTAAATACAGAAACCATCCATAGCTCGATTTCTGGGTTCCAATAACACAACCACTAAGAATCACACTGACCTTTAAGTATAATATTTAAAAAGTGAGTCAATGAACTGTCACCCTGAAAACAAATTAATCAAAGCAGAAAGATAACGAAAACACCTGACACATTCTACAAGCAATTTTTATTAGAATGTAAAAAATCTTTTATCTAAATTACAATCGGCTCCGTTCAGATCATTGGAGCTTGTCACAATAAATAAGACTTTGATAAAGCACAACCAGGTGGTTTTTTTTTCTTCACAGCAGCATCATGTAGGCCACGCTCTCCAACCACAGGACATCGGCCAAAGAAACCTCACACACACACAATATCATAAAATGATAAAAAGGTCGGGTTGTTGGCCACCCAAGCTCTTTTTACCCTACAGTATTCAGTTTATAACAACATCCATAATACCTTTATACCCACAAACCACCTAACTTTCATCACGTTAAGGTTACTACCTTTAACAGATAATGTTATAATACACATTTTTAGGAATAAATAATTGCCAAAAAGCTTGGGAACACACACACAATTATCACAATTTAGGACTTAACAAAAGCTACAGCTTGCAATATTATCTTCACAATTTTTCAGGGAAGGACATAGCAATAAAAGTAACCTTCGAGACTGCCAGTTTGATGCTTGACCCCTCATAGACTTGTCTAGCTCGGAGAAAGGCCCAGATTCTTCCACCTCACAGGACAAATTAGTCTCCTGAATTAACAAGTATTTATGTTAGCCATTCACCAAAAAACCATCGAAACTGAAATTTTCAACTCAAAGGATTATCTTAAAAAAATAATCTAAACAAAAACAACAAACATTTTAATGTGTACCAGAACCATTTTTAAGTTACCACATAATCTTGTTGTTTTTAAACAACATAAAATCTTTTATTATATTAACCTACACTCTATTTAGCAAATACTGTAGTAATGCTTCAATATTTATTCTTTTCAAGTGCAATATTTTTTTCCAGTCTCGAATACAGAAACTTTCCCCTCCCCAAACTCTTCCAAGAGCATTAAAGGCCATCCTGAAACAATCATAACGATCCTTAATTTGAGCTGTACCTGAAGGTGGCAAACATTGGTTTAAAGACCAAAATTCCTGAGCACAAATAATCTACGACCACTTAGATTGCAGGGTGGCAACAACAAGATAGCCCTCCAGAACATCAGAGATATAGTACGTATTTGTGCAGCATAGAGAGTGGATGACTCATTGACACATTACACTGGTAATGACTGTATTTACAGAAAATGTTTTCTTACACAATGAAACCATTGTGAAGCCAGCATGTTTACAGACCACGGCTGTAATGAGCTGCATACTGTTTGTCACATAGTGTGGTTTAAACTACAGAAGTACACACAAAGCCTTTTAAGGTTATGAATATAAAAAAGTGGATGTCAATAACTGTCCCCTGGAGACAAATTTCCCCTACTGTGGGATGTACATATGTAAGTGTGCAAAACTTTGGGAGCATCCTCAGCTTGGGGAGCTTCTGCACAAACCATGCCCCATTTTTCATTAACCTTAAAATAATTTAAACTGTATCTTGTCAAATTCCTTTTATTTGTTATTTGACACTGAGTCCAGGTGACATGCTTCTCCTTAATTAATGGTCATGCACTGTAATAGATTATAAACCACTATAGGACCACTATAAATCCTCCATCTCCTTGGTAGTTATTCTACCACTGAGAAAACAATACAGCTGTCCTGAGCTGAATGCCAAGAAAAAGTTATTAAAGTTACAGCATGTTTCAAGGAATTCTTCTTCTCTTGCACGCAGTGTCCTGTTCTTGACTAAAGTTATCAGTAACCTACCCCACCACGCAATAAAAGCAGTGAGTGTGGCCAACATGTCATCAACTAGACAAATTACTTTTTACTTTTTTTCTTCTGGACTGCATAGCCCGATACCTCAGGGGTAGGTGGGGTGAATATATTTATTTTTGTGATTTGGATAAACTGACCCCTAATTTTGTATAATATATCACAAATATCCTCTACCATGCATACACTGTAAATGATATTTGTTACTGCTGCTGATTCTACTTATCAATGTTTTACAGTGTGATGAATCCAAAGTAACACCATGCAAACTGCTGAAGCTGAGAAGATAAATAAGTTCACTGTTTACTCTTAGTAAACTTGTGTTAAAACATCACAGAGCAGACACTGAATGCACTTGACTGATGTCATTTCGCAGGGTATTCTGAGGTTTTTGTAATGCTAAAAAGATGCCAGGTGCAGCTTTGAGCTTTGGCTTCACTTCACTTCAATCAGATCCTTCACCCGCCTGTGGCTCCAATAAGGACGTTTCAGTGTGGCGGAGATGAGCTCTCTCTCTTTCTTCAACACACACAAACACAACTGAGCCACTCGCGCCAGTGGGAAAAGAAGGAGACACGCACCTACATATTTACATGACACGCACAGGAGGGAGAGCTTGTTGCGGCAGGGGGCGCAACAGAGCTTGTTTTCTGTCTGCCGTGTCGGTTTCCAGCTTTCTGTCATTCTGTGTCTTGGTGCGTAAAAGCAGAACCACCATGGAATCAACACTATGACCAATGTCCGGAGTTTATTCTGCGCCAGGATCTGATTCACAACTCTGGTTACGGATTTACTGACCCTGCATGGCTTAACGCACAGTCTCTGGAAGGAAACCCTGCAGTTCCACCTGGATTAGTGTTTCGACTGTGCGGATACCTGCGCTTGGAAATGGATCTGTGAAGTAGGAGAAACACTGGTTAGAAAGTACAGTGAAGTATCAAATACTTCACCACACCAGCATCATAACCTACAGGTACAGTGACACGCTGTCTGGGATGTTCATTTTCATTATGTCTCTGTGTTACAATAATAATAATAATAATAATAATAATAATAGTTTGAATAACATTTTAAGGAGTTTACTATCATTATACACTGTGTAGACAGTTTTTCTCCTGAACTGGATACTTAAGTGTGCAAGACTTAATTTAGACAAGGTGCAAAGTATGGCTGAGTTATATGTTCTGAGGTGAGGGGTGAAAGTCCTTCCCTAACTGGACCTCAGACCTGCTGTCTGATGGGTATCGCAGCAGTTTTTCAGCAGGGGGGCTCCCTTATTAGGAGCCAGTGGTCAGAGAGGTCAA